ATAACTCATAGGGGTTGAGTGCGAGATTCATTTGAGAACTAAGTCATATTCTGGTTCTGCTGCACATCGTAAAAACCTCTGAAACATTTGTGTCATGCGGTCAAAATTTTTTCGAACCACTGAGATATCATTGACAACCGACTTAATCTAATGTTTGTTGGTTCATTGATCTGTGGAGACTGTGAACCCTGAGACAATCTGCAACTATCATGAGAATTTCTATTGTCCCAATGTTATACATTGTGGTAGTTATCAATTAAACAGCTTCTTTTGCTGCGATCGGTTAGCACGTCGTCAGCTTGTTTAGCAATGTGCGGAGGCTGGTATATATATATATATATGTATATATATATATATATATATTCAACTCATTGAAGCCCGCAATTTAGACTCTTTGGTGGTTGTGGTCAAATGGGATTAAGTTGTTATCACTAAAGTAATTTTGCTCTAAAGGTAAAAGGTTAAAATCTTATCACTGCTATCCAAGTTTGATACTGGACAGCTTCGCTATACATCGGTTCAATGCCATACCCATCCGAATGGGGCTTTGTTCGATTCACTAATCTAATTTCATGGGTTGAAGTTGGCGACTGCCATGAGTAGTGGAAAAGTGTATCTCTGATGTTGTGCATGGCAGTAGGGTATACAATAAAAAATTTAAACACGATGCCATCTCCAACATTCACCGGGAATTAACTGACAAACGGTAGAAATAGCAGATTCTACAACTTGTCAGGGATCCCAGAAACAGTGAACCTGAGGCTCGTCCGCTAAGTTCCTTCGTGAAAGAAAACAGCGGTCTGTTCTAGTCTACACTCAATTTTAACAAAGTAAAACTTGGCACAAAGCTTCTGGTGGAGTGCTCCATCTAGTGATCTTGGATGCAAACCACGATGCTTAGTATTCTTAGATTTCTTGAGCTTTCAGAAGAGCTACCGAACCTTTACTGTTGAGAAGGCTATCAAGCATTTTGGCCATAGCTTTCGACAAGGATTTTAACTAACTTCTATGTGATCCGAGTACAGGTCTTTTGGAGGGGACAATCTAAAATTTTCAATGAAGTTTACGTCAATATTTTAGGATGAAAAAAGTTTGACCTTAACATGCGCAAAGGTTTTGGATCTGTGTGGTACTGCAGTAAAAATTGACGAGAAAACTTACATAAACACAAAGCTACAATGGTAGAGGTTCACCTCAACAACATTAGTAGGTTTCATTATGTTACAAAAAAGCTTCTTATATTATCTTTTTTACTTTACGAATGCTTCTTCAGGAGCGGATGGTAAATTTACCGTCTAGAGTGGAGATAGACTCACGATGACTAAGTATATTTAACACGGAGGTTACAGAGAGTTAATAGGTAATTTCGTCCAATTAAGCTAGATTTGAATAAACGTATGTGAAAACGGGGTTCCGAAAGACACTATGATCGATCGAAACCTTATAGGTCGACTTTCTTCCGTTCAGGGACACACTGATCTCAGACGTAGTTTATCGCTATCCTACTAGAACAGAGAAGGATTTCCATACACTAATAATCGAACTTGCCTACTTACTTTCCAATCGTACCTTCACACATCTGGTCATGGGTGACCTCAAAGCTCCGGGTACTGATTGACCAAGAAGTCACTCTAGACAGGCTGGTCGCTGAACTCCATGGAAAACTCACCCAACACGTAACGTCCTTCAAGAGGTATCGTGGAAACCAATGCCCTTCTCTTCTCAACCTATTGATTACAAACGAGTACAACACCTAAACCTAGTTTGCAAAAGTGACTACCTTCTTCAAAACTTTNGTACTGCGGTCCTTTAAAAGAGCCAACTTCGTACGTTAACGGGATTTCTTGAGTGGCTAAATGAACAAACAACCAAATTCTTTATTTAAGGTGATTCACCGTGAAAAACAACCGTTTTCTTCCAAATGGGCACTGATTCCTTTTGATGAGTCCACTACTACCTCCTCTGTACGGTATGTCGAATTTTTCCACTACTGTTATATTTTTTAACATTCTCTTGTTGCACACTCACACCTTATCCTTACCTTCAATCAAACGAGCTACCCTCGTTATATTNGTTGTTCCCAGGGGAATTGAAATCCTGCTCAAATCCCTGAATCCCCCTTACGTGAGTCGCCACGCGAAGCCTCTGGGTTTAGATTACCGATTTCCGTCATTGAACAGAAAATCTTCGTTACTATGCGGCCCACTCCGTCTGTGGTTTATCACATAAATGCGTAATATAAATCTAATTAGACCAGAGGGGAGTCTTGAAAGAAGGGTCCCTAAACCTTACTGTACCATCCTACTTCAAAAATGTTTCCATAATGGAGTATATCCTTGTCCTGGAAGAAAGGCATTAGGTCTCCTAATTTTAGAAAGAAAATCGACGCGGTTGTAACAGCTACAGACCCATCAATCTAAAGAACATAATGTGTAGTCTTCTAACGCGTTACGCTGACACAAATAAAGAATAACGGGCTCCTATATCTAAATTCCAACACGACTCCCACCCAGGCAGAAAATGCATATGTAATACGCTACCGCTAATGGACAGACTAACTCAAGCGAACGACGACCGTTTAATTTTTCACGTTTTTTCATTGACCTCACTACAGCTTTCGATGGGATTGATTGATACACTTGAGACTTAAGGTCTCATTGCCAAACTCCTTGCTCTGATTCGTGACTTCCTCTAGTTCCTCGAATCTACATTTTTCATCTATGTTGAGTATTTACCGGGGTTTTGAAGGGTCAGTTCCTAGGCGGCTTTTTCTAATTAGCATAAAAGCTTACAAAAAATGGTGGGAGTCAACGTCGCATTGAACACTGACAATCTAGCTGCTTGGGGTACCCGTTGTTCTAAATTAAGTAGGTAAAGGAGCACACAACGAATTAGGCAGTATGCTTATTGTAAACTGCAAATATGTAGCCGGTACACGAACCGGAGAACAAGTAGGAACAGACAACTTGTAGGAAAGAAGGCAGGCAGGCCGACTCCGGCTCACACGTTGCAATATACTCGAATGCCGCCAAACCAGCATTCAAACAGTCAGTCGATCAATCAATCAATCTGGCCACAGCTACGTATGGCAAGTGAATCAGTTAGTTGTCGACGACAACAGCACCCGTCCTAAATCTGTTCGATTAGCCATGAATACGGACGAAAGCTGGTTCATTACTTGGGACATTAAAAAACCACGGCAAAGGCTCCAATATACCATTTCGGTGAGTGTAGTGACAGCATCAAGGCCCTCTGCACACGTACTTCTCCCTTATCCGGATCATGGTATTTAACCGGAGCAAAGTCATCTAGTTGGTCACTGCACGTTGTGTTTCGGTTTCTGCTTAATCATCTGTTGTTTCTCTGTAGGTTATGTCAATACAATTGTAATGAGTCCGTTCAGGACTCTAAAAGACGAAGGATAATGCAACCGTCCTTCCGATTAGAGGGGGAGTCTTAAGACTATAATAGGGATCTTCAGGGACGATTGGTGATGGCAGTCTCTCAAAATGCCCCTAAGTGGCCTGTAAGGGGACGGAGAACGGTTTCATGTGCTGGCAAGGAACCGTCGTTGAGGTTTCGTGGTATATCTATAGGCCTATGGATAAATCTGTTTGCCTAGGGAAAGAATATTCAGAGATGGCTATAACAGATGTAAAAAATGTTACACCGCAACTTACTGCATCCGTTGGGAATTTCCCCTCTTTATCAAACATACTGGCTCGTTGAGCAAGGAGCTCATCAGTGAATCGACGACAAGTTTTCTGCAATTGCACATGACTCGCCGGCAGGTCAAATATGTGTCTTTTCTGCAAAGTCTTAACTAACAGTGGGTTCCCTGAACAGATAAAAAATCAGATTGTTACTTACTTCGGTTAATAGAGAAAGGTGAACAGTACCTCATCATGATTGTAAATGAGGTGGTTAACAATCAGCTGATTGAA